AATTATGAATACTATCATGAAAACTTCCCGCATATCCGGACTTATTTTTTTCTCCTAGGCTTTGTCGATTTTGGTTTTGTTAGTTCCTGTGGTTCTTCTTTTTCTGCACATTACTATTATATGTTTTCGATCTGTCAGCAGCAACTCCAAGCAATAACTATCATTATCGTCATTACAAATTTTTAATTATTTTGGCTGATCTTATCACTATTTTTACTCTTTTCACGGGCAATAATTTTCCTAAAACTTGTGTTTAGATGTGACCATGAAAATTACAGCAGTATATTGATTATATATATTGGCAATGGTAATAACAAAGAAGACAACAATGAATATGAAATTGGATAAAGCTAATAACCATTGTAGATAAACAATGGCAAGAAACCACAGAGACACCGACGTCCTTGCTTCATTCAGTACCACCGACATAAGTTTATACACAAGATTACAATTTTTTTTCATATAAATTCTCATAAAAATGCAGAATCACTTAAAAGTATCCCATAGTATTTAAACCGACGCTATCGACATGCTAGTTTATTCCTTTGAACAATTTATGAGTATTAAATTAATCATACTTAGCTTAAGCATATTGAGGGGTGTGTGTATAGGGACGTTGCGTACCCTGGGCCTCACCTCGTAGGTGACATCGGCCACGTAACCGGAGTCTCCCGTTGACATGTAGGTGACCCTCTGGAGACGACCGTCGGAAGGAGGACGTAGTAGGAACCCTGAGTGTTGGGGCCATCTCTAGCCTCCTGATGACCGAAGTCGTTGCCAGATGGAGGGTCGTTGACAGAGTAGTTGAAGTCGTACTTGGCAGGTCCTGAAGAGGGCGTTGTGGCACCATAACCATAGGAAGGTACGCTCTCAGGACGAGCGAGAGTAACGGCCACAAGGGCAGCGAGTGCAGCTAACCCCCAAAAAAAGAAAGAAAAAAGAAAGAAAGAAAGAAGAAAAACTCAGTTATACAATCTAGAATTAGCGCCTCCTGCACTAAGCAGGAAGCGCATCCTTGACACACATTTACAATGACATTCTCTTCCACGTAAATTCGTTTTCTCGCATCTCACTTTAAATGGCATTGTGTAAAGTAATAAAAATCTGACACAGTGAGTGATTCCTTCCGTTTATACACTTAGAGAAGTGAAGCTCTCCCAAATGAGCATAAAAAGTATTGCTGGAGGCGGAACTATGGATTTCATACACCCTGATGTTTGTGACCACATTTAATTATTTTCTGGAGCCCTAAGAGATGTCATATTTTCATTATACACAAAGTATGTTCATCTATATATGTATGAATATATGTGTGTGTATGTGTAAAAATATAATATTGTAAATGTTGTATATGACATATATATATATATATATATATATATATATATAATATATATATATATATATATATATATACTATAAATATTTGTATAGATATGTATACACAAACACATATTTACTGTATGTGTGTGTGCATATAAATGTATGGATGCATTTATGAATACACAGCTTTTTACTCGACCATGGATATGCTTCCTGTGCACCGCCTACACAAACAACAAAGAATGATGAAAAGATCCATGTACATTATACCATATTGAGCTGTGAATATATATATATATATATATATATATATATATATATATATATATATATATATATATATATATGAGTGTGTGAGTGTGTGAGTGTGTGAGTGTGTGTGTGTGGTGTGTGTGTGTGTGTGTGTGTGTGTGTGTGTGTGTGTGTGTGTGTGTGTGTGTGTGTGTGTGTGTGTGTGTGTGTGTAAATATATATATATATATATATATATATATATATATATATATATATATATATATATATATATATATATATATATATATATATTCTCAGTGGACTGAACGTGCATGAATATGCATATATATTTGCATCTAAGCATAACTATATGTATATATATTATATTACATGTACATATATGTACACACATAATGTTAACATATACATGTACACATGTATGAAAATAGTTAAATTAAAATATTTCACAGAGAAAGTGGGTCTAAATTATGAAGCAGCAACAGTGTTACAGATATCAAGGTACGGTAATATATAAGTCCGCCCACAGCACTCTCCATCCACATCATTAGGGAGGAGCTTTACCTGCTTACACTATATAAACAGATAGAAAATTTCTCACTGCATCAAATACTCTTGTCATCACACACCATGGCATTTAAGGTGAAATCCCTGAGGACGGATTAGCTTGTCAAGAATGCGTGTTTTGGGAAAGATTTATTCTCTTTTTTATTACGTTTGTGTACTTTCTGTTATGACAATCCCGATATTACAGGTAATCGCACTCGCTGCTCTTGTGGCCGTTGCTCTCGCTCGCCCTCAGAATGGCTATGGCGTCCCAATGCCCTCTGTAGGACCTGCCAAGTACGACTTCAACTACGCCGTCAACGACCCACCATCTGGCAACGACTTCGGTCATCAGGAGGCCCGAGATGGCCCCAACACTCAGGGTTCCTACTACGTCCTCCTTCCGACGGTCGCCTGCAGAAGGTCGCCTACACCGTCAACGGCGACTCTGGTTACGTGGCCGATGTCACCTACGAGGGTGAGGCCTCCACACCACGCTCCTATACACCCGCCCTCACTATGCTTAAATGCAGGATTTTATGACCTCTGTATATATAGTTTAATAAACTTGTACATCGATGACGTTGTCTTCTTTAAATTTACATTTGTATGAACGACGCAATGATTTTTTTTCCCATTTAGTATCAAGCAGGGAGCTCAAAAACACGAAACAAGAGACTTTCTACAAGTCACAGGCTTTAACTGGATCTTTCATCTTTAGGGGTCGATGGGCACAATCATATACCGATATGGCATTGATGTGAATTTGTACCCGTTGATTTGATACATATAATGAGTAAATATAAAGTAAAATTAATTTGCTGACTTAGTCTTTGAAAATTCATTATTATATATTATCTTTAGCTATAACTTTCCTTGTACTTTCCACGCCCCTATACACCCGCCCCTCACTATGCTTAAATGCAGTGTTTTGTAAGCTCTGGATATGTAGTTTATTAAACTTGTACATCAATAACTTTCCTTAATATCTTTACGTGAATAACATAAACATGATTTTTTTTATAGTATGAAGTAATGAGCTCTGAAAAAAACACTAAATATACAAACGAGATTTTCTACAGTTTCTACTAACATACAGCCTTTGAAAACATTCTGTAATATAACAAGGAGATTTTCTATCAGCAAAACACATTTCCTTAGACTTTCTTTTGTTTCATTTGTCAATTGCTTTGATATCGCTTCCTATAGCTACATCTTTATGTTTGGCAAGATAATCTAAGAAAATAAGGTGATATATTGGATATATAATAAAGCCATAATCTAATGACTGATAAATCCGTGGACAACAAGAGCAATATCGTCTTGGTTTGTGGTTGCCAGACTGTTTACACACGCGACCCGTTTCTCAAACCACATTCACTACTCCCTGACATAAACTGTTCCAGTTATGATTTCCGAACTAATGTTTTTTGGCGAAAAAAAAGAAATTAGCAATTTTTCCTTGCATGCAATGGGATATTCCACGAAGACGTGTCTCCATAGTATATTTATCATGAATACAAGAAAACCTGGCAAATAGGCCTACAATGTTTCCTCAAGACCCATTAAAGGCATAGCTATTGGAAACCAATGGTCATTTAAGAAATTTTAGAGCTGAAAACCTGCGAGATGAGGTACTGGCCGTGTTCCTCGTCAGTGACATCAGTTACTATGGTGTCACGGTCGCTGTCCTGTCATTAACAGGTGTCTAGCGGTGTAACTGGTCATACTTGGAGGGTAATTTAGTAAATGTTAGAGCAATATTGTAATAGTGGCTTTCAGAAACAAAGAAAATAACAATAAAAGGAGTAGGTGTTTTATTTCTCGTAAGCGATGTCGGGGCTAATAGAGCAATGCAATCTATTTGCAGGGGAGAGAGGGAATTTGAGGAATGAATCACAAAATTATCAATTAAAGGTTCTTATGCATTGCGGTACATTGGAGAACTTCAAACACACACACACACATATACATACATACATACATACATATATATATTATATATATATATATATATTATATATATATATATATATATATGCATATATATATATATATATGCATATATATATATATATATATAATATATTATATATATATATATATATATTTATGCATATATATATATGTGTATGTTTGTGTATGTGTATGTGTATGTGTGTGTATGTGTGTGTATGTGTATGTGTGTGTATGTGTATGTGTGTATGTGTGTGTGTGTGTGTAAATGTATGTGTATGTGTATGCATGTTTGTGAATATATGTGTATGTGTATGTGTGTGTTGCGAGTGAGAAAGTATACATACAAAAAACGCACATGCATAATTATGTGTATGTGTATATATATTCACACACACAGACACACACACACACACACACACACACACACACACACACACACACACACACACACACACACACACACACATATATATATATATATATATATGTGTGTGTGTGTGTGTGTGTGTGTGTGTGTGTGTGTGTGTCTATGTGTGTATGTATGTGTGTATTCGTTTCTATATATATACACATACCTGTATATACACACATATATATCATATATATGCATATATATAATATATATGCATGCATGTGTGTATGTATATATCATATGTATATATATCATATGTATATATATATATGTATATATATAAGGTGTGTATGTTTATATATATATATATATAAAAACATACACACCCATTTATATCAAGTCTATTCTTTGTGCAACAAAGGCCTATTTAATAAGCCACTGTTTTTGAAATATCAAGGTGACCAGTAATACTCCGCTCCACCCACAGCACTCTCCATGCTTATTTTGAAGGAGGAGCTATGCTTGTTCCAACTATATAAACAGATGGAATCGGTCTTACTGCATCAGTCATTCTATCATCACACACCATGGCATTTAAGGTGAGATGACAGAGAGTGCCTTTTGCTTACGCCATAGTTATTCCTATTTATAAACATTTCTATTCTTCTAAATTGCATCGCTTTACTGTTATAATATTGTCAATGTTACAGGTAATTGCACTCGCCGCCCTTGTGGCCGTTGCCCTCGCCCGCCCTCAGAACGGCTATGGCGTCCCAACGCCCTCTTCAGGACCTGCCAAGTACGACTTCAACTACGCCGTCAACGACCCACCATCTGGCAACGACTTCGGCCATCAGGAGGCCCGAGATGGCCCCAACACTCAGGGTTCCTACTACGTCCTCCTTCCCGACGGTCGTCTTCAGAGGGTCACCTACACTGTCAACGGAGACTCCGGTTACGTGGCCGATGTCACCTACGAGGGTGAGGCCCAGTACCCCACCGCGCCACCGCGCCCCTATACACCCGCCCCTCAGTATGCGTAGATACCTTTTGTTATGGCAACCGCATTGTATAATTTATGTATAAATTGTCTAATAAACTAGCACATAGATGGCGTTCTTTGATATTTTTTTATAGGGAAAACTCAAAAAAAAAAAAAAAAAAAATGCATGTTTGTGTGCATATTTGCGTTTTTTTTGAATCGAACTCTTTGAAAACAATACTTCACAGTAAACATAATCAAACTTTCTGCAGTTCACAATCAACGAAGAATAAGGTTGATGAAAGCATCATCTACTCAGCCAGTTTTGAAAGTAAACCTAAAGGGAAACGAGGCATAGTTATTAATAATAATAAAATCGGAGAGAATCATGTAAATAACTCAGGTTCCATGCATGTTATGTAACAGCATGATCATGAACCTCCGCGCATTCTGAAAAGTGACATTTGTCGGATACTTTTGGTCTATGATTGACAGAGTTCACGTGACTGAAACGAGAATTCCCAGGAAAGTAAAGAAAGTAAAAAACAAATATTGTTCAAACACAACAGGTAAAAAAACTTTGAAATGGAGGGTAGCTCGGCGCAAGGCATACTGCATACAAAGGAGAATTTAAGAATCCGGTATTGAAAACAATGTCAATTATGGACAGCAGAGTGCAACCTTGTATAGTTTAACGGAACCCCTTGAAATGTATTTGCTGTCACCAATTACTTGCATTAAGACACAATCCTTTAGCCGATGCTGATAGAACATAACAAAATGTATTAATGAAAATATTCGTCATCGTTACCATCATGACATCAGTATTATTTTTACAGGGATATTGCTGTCGACATCGTTCTTTATTGCTGCTGCTGTCATTTTCAATTCAATTCAATTTTTCATTTTAAAATTCTGATTGATGTACTTCCTTTGTGTTACTGTTGACTAGCAATATGCCTATTATCTCATGATCACATTATCATTATGAGGTGTTTACGTAAAAAAAACAACTTATAAAATATTATATAAGTATGGATAGAATGGGTAGAGTGACAGCTAAGCAACCGTTAATGGACACTTCACATTATAGGTACTTTTACAGCAGCAATAATAAATACAATATCCATAATAAAAATAATACTGAAGATGGGAATGGTAGTATTACCACTGGTAATTATAGGATTATTGTGCATTCTATTATATTTCATCAGCATTTTCAACATTGTTGAACTGCTACAAAATAAACTTTTTTTTCGTCGGCTCAAGGATGGTCTCTTACTGGAATTAGCGACAGCAAATCTCACATTTCAAGGGTTCCCAGGCTATCCAGGTTGACACTAATGTTATTAATTGATACTGGTCTAAATACCGACTTCTTAAAGTCCCCTATATGATTTCCATGAAACATGTGGACTACATGAAAGTTTCATTCCATCTTCAATGAAAGTATTATCATTATTATTATTTAGAATGAAGAGTTTGATACTAAACATAAAAGCTTCACACACACATACTAATAGTCACTTTTCTACGTCATCCATAGTAAAATATCAGAGAACGCCTTCGATGTGCAACTTTATTAAATTATCCACAGATTACAAAAAGTGTTTAGCTATACAAAGAGTACCTACGCATGATAAGGGGCGGGTGTATAGGGGCGCGGTGGCGCGGTGGGGTACTGGGCCTCACCCTCGTAGGTGACATCGGCCACGTAACCGGAGTCTCCGTTGACAGTGTAGGTGACCCTCTGAAGACGACCGTCGGGAAGGAGGACGTAGTAGGAACCCTGAGTGTTGGGGCCATCTCGGGCCTCCTGATGACCGAAGTCGTTGCCAGATGGTGGGTCGTTGACGGCGTAGTTGAAGTCGTACTTGGCAGGTCCTGAAGAGGGCGTTGTTCCCATAACCATAGGGCGTATGTTCTCAGGGCGGCGAGGGCGACAACCAAGGGCGGCGAGTGCAATTACCTACAATATCGGGATTGTTTTATCCATTTTAAAGCTACGAAAAAAAGTCACAAATACTTGATAAGCAATAAAAGTATAGGATCTATCAATGTCATTCGTTTGAGCTTCAAGTAGACGGCGTATTCTTGACTTACTTAAAATGACTTTACCATGTACACTCATCTCACATCTCACCTTAAATCCCATGGTGTGTGACGGTGATCTGACACAACGAGAGATCCAGTCTGTTTATATAGTTAGAGCTAGTTAAGCTCCTCCCTGATGATGAGCATGAAGAGCTGTGGGTGGAGCGATGAGTCCCATTCACTTTGATATTTGTGACCACATTTTTTACTTCGTAATTTTGAACTTGTAAGAAATACAAACTATAGGCTTAGATGCATACACACACACACACACACACACACACTGTATATATACATATATACATATGTATACACATATATTTATATTTGTAATATACATACCTATACGTAAATTCATATTTACATACATATAAATATATGCATAAATATACACACACATATCAATACACAAGTTCACACACACATACATATACTATATTTTTATGTTTATATATATATATATATATACCACATATATATATCTTATATAATTCATGTTTACATACGTACATATATATACACATTCAATATAGAAATGCACACAAAATACACACACATATCAATGCACAAGTGCATACACACACACTCGCATTTATGTGCTATATACTATGCAATATAATATACAATTATATATATATATTTATATATAATATATATATATATACATATATATATATATATATATATATATATATATATATATATATATATATATATATATATATATATATATATATATATATAATATATATATATATATATATATATATATAATATATATATATATATATATATATGTCAGATTACTTCAAATCTCAGCGAACAAAAAAAATAAAACAAAAATAACTACATCCCGAGAAAACATGCCATGAAAAAACAAAAACAAAAACAGATTAGGCGGATGAGATATATCATATATGTATATATAAAATATACACACCCATTTATATGAAGTAAGTTTATTATTTGTGTGATAAAGGCCTATTAATAAGCCACTGATTTTGAAATATCAAGGTGACCGGTAATATTCCGCCTACAGCACTCTCCATGCTTATCTTCAGGGAGGAGCTAAGCTTGTTCCAACTATATAAACAGATGGAATCGGTCTTACTGCATCAGTCATTCTATCATCACACACCATGGCATTTAAGGTGAGATGACAGAGGACAAACTCGCGTGTGAAGAAAGTGCCTTTTGCTTACGCCATAGTCATTCCTATTTACAACATTTCTATTCTTCTAAATTGCATCGCTTTACTCTGTTATAATATTGTCGATGTGCAGGTAATTGCACTCGCCGCCTTGTGGCCGTTGCCTCGCCGCCCTCAGAACGGCTATGGCGTCCCAACGCCCTCTTCAGGACCTGCCAAGTACGACTTCAACTACGCCGTCAACGACCCACCATCTGGCAACGACTTCGGTCATCAGGAGGCCCGAGATGGCCCTAACACTCAGGGTTCCTACTACGTCCTCCTTCCCGACGGTCGTCTTCAGAGGGTCACCTACACTGTCAACGGAGACTCCGGTTACGTGGCCGATGTCACCTACGAGGGTGAGGCCCAGTACCCCACCGCGCCACCGCGCCCCTATACACCCGCCCCTCAGTATGCGTAGATACCTTTTGTTATGGCACATTGTATAATTTATGTATAAATTGTCTAATAAACTAGCACATAGATGGCGTTCTTTGATATTTTTATAGGGAAAAGTCAGGAAAAAAAGTGCTGTTTTGTGCATATTTGTATTTTTTGGAATCGAACTCTTTGAAAATAATACTTTCACAGTAAACATAAATCAAACTTTCATGCAGTTCACAATGCTTAACAAAGTCAAGAACCAAGAACAAGGTTGATGAAAGCATCATCTACTCAGTCAGTTTTGAAAGTCAACCTAAAGGGAAACGAAACAAGCATAGTTAATAATAATAATAATAAAATCGGAGAGAATCATGTAAATAACTCAGTTTCCATGCATGTTATGTAATAGCATGATCTTCAACCTTCGCGCATTCTGAAAAGTGACATTTGTAGGTTACTTTGGCCTTTAATTGACAGAGTTCACGTGACTGAAACCAGAATTCCCAGGAAAGTAAAGAAAGTAAAGAACAAATATTGTTCAAACACAACAGGTAAAAAAACTTTGAAATGTGAGGGTAGCTCGGCGCAAGGCATACTGCATAAAGGTATTCAAAGGAGAATTTAAGAATCCGGTATTGAAACCAATGTCAATTATGGACAGCAGAGTACAACCTTGTATAGTTTAACGGAACCCCTTGAAATGTATTTGCTGTCACCAATTACTTGCATTAAGACACAATCCTTTAGCCGATGCTGATAGAATATAACAAAATGTATCAATGAAAATATTTGTCATCAGCATTACCATCAATGACATCAGTATTATTTTTACTAGGGTTATTATTGTCGACATCGTTGTCTTTATTGCTGCTGCTCATTTTTATAATTCTGATTGATATTGTTCTTCCTGTTGTTGTTACTGTTGATTAGCAATATGCCTATTATCTCCATTATCACCATCATCACTGTGATGTGTCCATAAGAAAGCGCATTAGATGATTTACTTGACAATATCAAAAAAGTTCATGGTCAAAACTTTAATATGCATTTAAAGTTTACCAACTAAAATGGATAGTTTGATTTAAACGAACACATAAGTGAAAAAAATAAAACATTATATAAGTATGGATAGAATGGATAGTGACAGCTAAGCAACCTGGTCTAAGTTAATGGACACATCATATTGATGATAAGGGAGAAGGTAATAGTCCCATTACTAACAGACAATAATAACAAGGATAAAAAAGAATATCAATTACGAAAATATAGGTACTTTTACACAATAATACAATAAATTATAAAATAATACTGAAGATGGGAATGGTAGTATTTACCACTGGGTAATTATAGGATTATTGTTGCATTCTATTATATTTCATCAGCATTTTCAACATTGTTGAACTGCTACAAAATAAACCTTTTTTCGTCGGCTCAAGGATGGTCTCTTACTGGAATTAGCGACAGCAAATCTCACATTTCAAGGGTTCCCAGGCTATCCAGGTTGACACTAGTGTTATTAATTGATACTGGTCTAAATACCGACTTCTTAAAGTCCCCTATATGATTTCCATGAAACATGTGGACTACATGAAAGTTTCGATTCCATCTTCAATGAAAGTATTATTATTATTTTAGAATGAAGAGTTTGATACTAAACATAAAAGCTTCACACACATACTAATAGTCACTTTTCTACGTCATCCATAGTAAAATATCAGAGAACGCCTTCGATGTGCAACTTTATTAAATTATCCACAGATTACAAAATGTGTTTAGCTATACAAAGAGTACCTACGCATGATAAGGGGCGGGTGTATAGGGGCGCGGTGGCGCGGTGGGGTACTGGGCCTCACCCTCGTAGGTGACATCGGCCACGTAACCGGAGTCTCCGTTGACAGTGTAGGTGACCCTCTGAAGACGACCGTCGGGAAGGAGGACGTAGTAGGAACCCTGAGTGTTGGGGCCATCTCGGGCCTCCTGATGACCGAAGTCGTTGCCAGATGGTGGGTCGTTGACGGCGTAGTTGAAGTCGTACTTGGCAGGTCCTGAAGAGGGCGTTGTTCCGCCATAACCATAGGGCGGTATGTTCTCAGGGCGAGCGAGGGCGACAACCACAAGGGCGGCGAGTGCAATTACCTACAATATCGGGATTGTTTTATCCATTTTAAAGCTACGAAAAAAATCACAAATACTTGATAAGCAATAAAAGTATAGATCTATCAATGTCATTCGTTTGAGCTCAAGTAACGGCGTGTTCTTGACTTACTTAAAATGACTTTACCATGTACACTCATCTCACATCTCACCTTAAATCCCATGGTGTGTGACGGTGATCTGACGCAACGAGAGATCCAGTCTGTTATATAGTTAGAGCTAGTTAAGCTCCTCCCTGATGATGAGCATGAAGAGCTGTGGGTGGAGCGATGAGTCCCATTCACTTTGATATTTGTGACCACATTTTTTACTTCGTAATTTTGAACTTGTAAGAAATACAAACTAATAGGCTTAGATGCATACACACACACACACACACACTGTATATATACATATATACATATGTATACACATATATTTATATTTGTAATATACATACCTATACCGTAAATTCATATTTACATACATATATATATGCATAAATATACACACACATATCAATACACAAGTTCACACACCACATACATATACTATATTTTTATGTTTATATATATATATATATATATATATATATATATATATCTATATATAATTCATGTTTACATACGTACATACATATATACACATATCAATATAGAAATGCACACAAACACACACACATACACAAGTGCATACACACACGCATATTATGTTGCTATATACTATGCAAAATATATATATACATTATATATATATATATATATTTATACATATACATATGCATATATAAACAAAATAAAACAAAAATGCTACATCCCGAGAAAACATGCCATGAAAAAAAAAAACAAAAACAAAAAAACAGATTAGGCGGATGAGGTATATCATATATGTATATATATAAATATCACACCCATTTATATGAAGTAAGTTTATTATTTGTGTGGTAAAGGCCTATCTAATAAGCACTGATTTTGAAATATCAAGGTGACCGGTAATATTACAGCACTCTCCATGCTTATCTTCAGGGAGGAGCTAAGCTTGTTCCAACTATATAAACAGATGGAATCGGTCTTACTGCATCAGTCATTCTATCATCACACACCATGGCATTTAAGGTGAGATGACAGAGGTCAAACTCGCGTGTGAAGAAAGTGCCTTTCTTACGCCATAGCATTTCTATCTACCATATTTTTCTAAATCGCTTTACTCTGTTATAATATTGTCGATGTTGCAGGTAATTGCACTCGCCGCCCTTGTGGCCGTTGCCCTCGCCCGCCCTCAGAACGGCTATGGCGTCCCAACGCCCTCTTCAGGACCTGCCAAGTACGACTTCAACTACGCCGTCAACGACCCACCATCTGGCAACGACTTCGGTCATCAGGAGGCCCGAGATGGCCCCAACACTCAGGGTTCCTACTACGTCCTCCTTCCGACGGTCGTCTCAGAGGTCGCCTACACTGTCAACGGAGACTCCGGTTACGTGGCCGATGTCACCTACGAGGGTGAGGCCCAGTACCCCACCGCGCCACCGCGCCCTATACACCCGCCCCTCAGTATGCGTAGATACCTTTTGTTATGGCAACCGCATTGTATAATTTATGTATAAATTGTCTAATAAACTAGCACATAGATGGCGTTCTTTGATATTTTTATGGGGGAGGGGAATGCAAATTTGTGAGTGCATATTTGCATTTGTTTTGAATCGAACTCTTTGAAAACAATACTTTCACAGTAAACAAATCAAACTTTCGTGCAGCTTACAATGCTTAACAAGACATACAATTACTTGCATTAAAACACACAATCCTTTAGCCGATGCTGATAGAATATAACAAAATGTATCAATGAAAATATTCGTGGTATTGCCACAATATAGTATTATTTTTTATTATTATTGTCGACATCGGTCTTTATTGCTGCTGCTATTTTTCATAAATTCTGATTTATATTTTTCTTCCTGTTGTTGTTACTGTTGATAGCAATATGCCTATTATCTTATCATATCATCACTGTGAGGTGTCCATTACGTAAAAAAAAAAAAAAAAAGAAAAAAAATGTGCATTAGATTATTTACTACAATATTAAAATAGTAATGTGTGTCAATGACATGTTATGTCAAAACTTTTATATGCATTTAAAGTTTACGCATATAAAAAATGGCATTTGTTATAAGTATAAGGTAATAGTCCATTACTAACAGACAATAATAAAAGGAAAAAATATCAATTACGAAAATTATAGGTACTACAGCAAATAATTAATAAAAGATGGGAATGGTAGTATTACCACTGGGTAATTATAATTATGTTGCATTCTATTATATTTTTTCAGCATTTTCAACATTGTTGAACTGCTACAAAATAAACCTTTTTTCGTCGGCTCAAGGATGGTCTCTTACTGGAATTAGCGACAGCAAATCTCACATTTCAAGGGTTCCCAGGCTATCCAGGTTGACACTGATGTTATTAATTGATACTGGTCTAAATACCGACTTCTTAAAGTCCCCTATATGATTTCCATGAAAAATGTGGACTGCATGATAGTTTCGATTCTATCTTCAATGAAATATATTATAGTTATTATTATTATTTAGAATGAAGAGTTTGATACTAACATAAAAGCTTCACACACACATACTAAGTCACTTTTCTACGTCATCCATTGTAAAATATCAGAGAACGCTTTCGATGTGCAACTTTATTAAATTATCCACAGATTACAAAATGTGTTTAGCTATACAAAGAGTACCTACGCATGATAAGGGGCGGGTGTATAGGGGCGCGGTGCGCGGTGGGGTACTGGGCCTCACCCTCGTAGGTGACATCGGCCACGTAACCGAGTCTCCGTTGACAGTGTAGGTGACCTCTGAAGACGACCGTCGGGAAGGAGGACGTAGTAGGAACCCTGAGTGTTGGGGCCATCTCGGGCCTCCTGATGACCGAAGTCGTTGCCAGATGCCGTTGACGGCGTAGTGAAGTCGTACTTGGCAGGTCCTGAAGAGGGCGTTGTTCCGCCATAACCATAGGGCGGTATGTTCTCAGGCGGGCGAGGGCGACAACCACAAGGGCGGCGAGTGCAATTACCTACAATATCGGGATTGTTTTATCCATGTTAAGCTAAGAAAAAATCACAAATACTTGATAAGCAATAAAAGTATAGGATCTATCAATGTCATTCGTTTGAGCTTCAAGTAGACGGCGTATTCTTGACTTACTTAAAATGACTTTACCATGTACACTCATCTCACATCTCACCTTAAATCCCATGGTGTGTGACGGTGATCTGACACAACGAGAGATCCAGTCTGTTTATAGTTAGAGCTAGTTAAGCTCCTCCCTGATGATGAGCATGAAGAGCTGTGGGTGGAGCGATGAGACCCATTCACCTTGATATTTGTAACCACATTTTCTACTTCGTAATTTTGAACTTTTAAGAAATATATACTTCGGTGATTTCACACACATACTAACTAATAGGTTTATAGGGTTAGATGCATATATGCACACACATACTCACACACACACACACACACACTGTATATATACATACTTACGTATGTATACACATATATTTAGATTTGTAATATACATATCTATCCGTAACTTCATATTTACATACATATATATGTATATAAATATATACACATATCAATAACAAACACACACATGTACTATATACTATGTATATATTATATACATCACATATGTATATCTTAAATAATTCATGTTTAAATACGTACATATATGTACACACATATCAGTATATAAATGCACACACACATACATATCAATGCACACGTGCACACACACACACTCGCACACATGTGTACTATATACTATACATACATACATACATACATACACACACACACACACACACACACACACACACACACACACACACACACACACACACTATATATATATATATATATATATATATATATATATATATATATATATATATATATATATATATTGAGTGTGTGCCTTTAGGCCAGATTACTTCAAATCTCAGTGAACAAAATAAAATAAACAAAAACATCTAAAATGCTACATCCCAAGAAAACATGCCATGGAAGAAAACAAACAAAACAGATTAGGTGGATGAGAACCTGATCCCAATTCAGAAAACCATAACGATTACTCTGCTCCCAAACCCAGTTATGGTCCAACTGAGTGTAACATCAACTAAGTCCTCAACATCCCATCGTCTGATAACGTTTCGAAGCCTATGGTAGCGATAAAACAAAGACCCTGGTTTGCTCAGTTTCGTGGTGTTCCACAGATAAGCTCTAAACTAAACTATAAACGCAATCAACGCTGTCAACAAGCACTCCAATTATGTGGATGATGTCACTTGTATGGGTGAGGCACAGTAACCGCCACACAAGCGTCTTATAAAACTAGCGACCATCCCTATTCCTATACTTGGATGAGGTTACAGTATAAAAGGTAAAACAAAATCTGACATTTCCATTTGATCTCAAAATTGGTATTAAATCCCATATAAATATGCAATTATGTTCTTGCTAATATCAAAATATTAATGTATCGATAGCATGTAATTTCAAATCTCATATAAACCTTACACATCTACACTGGAGGAAAATAAACAGATCTTTGAGATTAAATTCAATTGTAGCACGGCAGCCAAAGTGAAAGTATTCTCAAAGATATAAATATTAGATTTTAAAGAACACAGGCGATAAAACTTATAATCATTATGTAATTACGGCTAGAATGGATATTCAGTGCAACCGCCACCAAGAGAATAAGTATAAGCCTTACAAGGAGGATAATAATGAGATAATAATAGTTTTACCATTAGACAATTACATTTCCAAGAAAGAGAGAAAGAAAGAAAAAAAAAAAAACAATATCAATGATGATAACTGTATTGATATTTGTACAGTATTGACAGAAAATTAACTATAACAACAATAATTAACTTAATAATTAACTATAACAACAATAATTAATAATTAACTATAACATAATAATAATAATAATAATAACTATAACAACAATTAACTATAACAACAATAATTAACTTAATAATTAACTATAACAACAAAATTAACTATAACAACAGTAACTATAACGACATCGACAACGGTTGCCATTATAAGAGTGATAATGGTAGGAATTGTATTACCAGTTATTTATGATATAATATTCTATCATATTTCTTATCAT